TAGAAGATGTGTCATGCAAAAAATGTGTTTGAACAGAATTTTTTATAAAAAGCGCTTTTAGTTTATGTAACTCGAAAAAGTGTTAAATCGATAAATAATATGTAACGAGGTTGAATAGTAATTTATTTTCTTTTTGATACTTGAGAAAGCAAGCCACGTTAATATTAATTTTCTCTCACTCGGTTCTAGGAGGAAAAAGAAAATAGCAGACTAAAGAGAATTACGTGGGAATGGTACCATGAGGCCGTCGCAGGCTTGCAGCGCAACGAAACCTCGGCCCCCGATCAAAAACCAGGGGCTACCCTCTCAATCTTATTACCTCATCCTTTGCATGCCGACCAAAAAGAATCTACCATTTTTTTTTTTGCTTTTTTCATTTTCTTTAATTTTTGTTTTTATATGATCAAATTTGGTCTTAAGAAATTATATTATATTTTATCTCAGAGTTTAGCCGACAAATTTGATTTTAATTACAGCTTATTGCTATTGATATTTTTTAATCTATTTTTTAATTTTTGTTTCAGTTGTGTTCACTGACGAAAAGCAGTCTCTAATACTATATATTAAGTGATAAGTTTAACTTTTCAAGCACACGTTGTAATTGTGTAATAATAAATACTACATGGTATATAGGATTTTATTACCATTAATTAGTAATAAAAATACCATACAATTATAACAATGTAATATCATTAAAATTATTTAATTAACAAATATTTTTAAATCTAAGATACGTTTTGTTTAATTCTTAAAAAGTATTTTTATTTTTAATTAATAGCTAATTTATTTATATAAAAAATTTCAATCTCTATAAATGGTGGCTTGGAGGGGTTTTTCAATGGTGCGAGAGGAGTAAGGTAAGAGAACCCAGATCCCCTTATCTGTTTGATCTCTTTATGAATATATTGATTAAGTTGCTTGATGTGACGGCTGCTGAAGGGATAATACAATATCATCCTAAGTGTAGAAGGGTGCGACTTATTTATCACTGCTTTGCAGATGATCTTTTATTTTTTTCAAAGGGTAACGTGGATTCTGTGGTGGGTAATTAAATTTGTGTTGGAAGCTTTCTTTAAGCTCTCAGGGCTCCGATTGAATTCTTGGAAGACTTACGGAGGACTGTGCACCTTTTTTTGTGTGGAGAAAATGACCAAGAAGGTCAATAGTTGGTCCTCGAAGGTTCTGTCCTACACAAGACGCCGACAACTCGTGAAGAGTTTTCTATATAATGTGCAAGCGTTTTGGTGCAGACACTTTGTTCTCCCAAAGGCGGTTATCAAGAAGATGGCTCAACTTTGCTCCAGGTTTTTCTAGAAAAGGGAGTTGATAGGGCAGCTAGTGGTGCTCGTATTAGTTGGAATAAAGATGGGGCTGGGTTTGCGGGAGCTTGTAGATTAGAATAATGCTAGCATGATTCAACATGTGTAGGCATTAGTGACAAAAGCAGGGTCGTTTTGGGTGAAGTGGGTGGATGAGTATGTTTTGAACGGAAAACCTTTTATGGACTACGTTGCCACAATTTCCTCTAGCTGGTTTTGGAGGAGATTGGTGAAAATGAGGGCTAGTGCCACTCAATTGATAGATTCCTTAGGTGGTTAGAAGCTTCCGGGGCAATTCAAGGTTAAGGAGGTGGTGTGGCAGGCGATTAGGGAGAAACAGGAGGGGGTGCATTGGTCGAGGCTCATTCGGTTCCCGCTGCTTGTTCGTAGTTGTGCTATAATTTCGTGGTTTGCTCTTCTAGATAGGTTTCCAACTAAAGTTAGGTTGTTAAAATGGGGAATTTATATTGAGAGTAGCTTTGTGTTTTGTTTAAATGCTTTAGGAACTCGTGATCATTTATTTTTTGGCTGTGAGTTCTCTGGGGTAGTATGGAGTATGGTATTGCAGCTTTGCCAATTATCGAAGCAAGAAAGGGGCTGAAGTCCGCAGTTGTCATGGGCCGTGGCGAAGTATGGGAATTTACTAAAGGAAAATATCTTAGTGTAAGAAGTGGGCTGAACCGCCCAAAATCGATGTTCTCATTCATGGATGAGTATAGTGGCTAAAACCAAATCAAGATGAACCCTGTGGATGCGGAAAAGACTGCCTTCTGAACTCCGAAAGGTAACAACTATTACACAGTGATGCCTTTTGGTTTAAAATGGAATAAATGGGCCGGGAGGCCTGTTGCTTACGAGTCAAAGCATTCTTCTGTATTAACATGTTTGGAGCTATTAACTTTGGGGTGGAATGGGAAAATGATATAAAAGTTGGTTCTACTTCAACAAAAAGGAAAGCTTAACTACCCATCCAAAATCCATTAGTGATTTGGTCTCTTCAATAATGAAAGAGAGTGACGTCAATAAATAATTGAAATGCTTAACCACCATCAATAATTGAAAACCAAACACCTGAAAAGTAGATTCAACCACTCATTTTTAAACAAAATCATAGTTTTTTTTTTCTATCCTAGGTTGCATTGTCGTTTGAGAAAAATGATTGTAACTTTAATCTATTTCTATTTCCCTTTCCTTTACCTTCAAAAGAAGGGAAGAATCGCCATGTTATTCGTATTTAAAAATTGATGGTTCTGGTGTAGTTTTTTTTTTCTCACAATATTGTTCTGTCGCAGTTTTTTATATACTCCGCAGTTATATTATTACTTTGCATTAAGGGTAGTGACAGCGGCTTTTCCGGCCACTTCCCTATCATTTCTTTCATTCTTTTTATTATTTTTTCATTAATTACAATTTTATTTTCTTAATATTTATAATACGCCCATGTTATCCATATTTTATCATATTTATAATAATATGTTCTCTCGACTCTTTCTCTGGTAAAGTGTATAATTGCTACCGGTGTTTTTAGACTTCCAGTGTAAGTTTCTTCTATTGATCTTCTTCTTTGTTTATTGTTTTAAGAAATTTCTTGGTTATTTGCTTTTCAAATGTATGGTTTCTTCGTTCGTTTGCATGTGATATTTAGATGGTTGTAAGATATGTTGGAGAATGTCGGAGTGCTTTATCTTTGCATGCCGTTGCCTTAACTGTTTAAACTCTTGCTCACCAGACTATCATTGGTCGCTTATTGTTATATTTTATTTGTGATAATTATAAATATGTTTGTCTCGTATGTATATATCAAGACGTTGTTGATGCTACTTTATTTGATTAATGAATATATTATAATTATATTTAAGAGGAAAAAAACAGTTGATTTTTCATCATTCATCCTCACAGGTCGCTTTTATATTTGCTTTTAGTCTTTAGCTTTGGTTGATTGATTGTAAATGGGTCCATTACAATAAATCGCACCATATGTTAAAATTGTGGACTCAAAAGTCAAACCTCATTTTGTTTTTTACAATAAATAAATAAATAAGGTGCAAACTTTCTGGGCATTACTGTCCGGTGCATGTTTTTCATTCCTTAAAATAAGGACAGTTACAGTAATCGGTCAAAACCCCACCCGACTATCACTAAATCCACCATATGCCAACCGAAACTAAACCCAGCAACTCGCTCCACTCGTTACAGTAAACAAAGGCATCACTCGTGCTATGTAGGCGATCCATGAGAGCTTCGACGCAAGAACATGCACCGGCGTGTGATTTAAGGCGGCGATTTGATGCTCCGATATTGAAGGGAAGGATGTGCTGTGGGTGTTGGCGTGTAGAATCACGCTATGAAGGGAATATTTGTGGGGATTTGTTGAAAAGACTGTCTTGATCACTGACCCCTTATCTTTAAGGTTACTGAACACAATTCTTATGTTTTTCCGGTACCCCATTGAAATCAAGAAGAAAAAAGAACAAGATGATCAATTCTAGTGGGTGAAGAGAAGATCAGAGAAAATAACAGTTAGTCTATTGTAACTATAAATACCAACGATTATATAAGAGAAAAATTAACGTTTTATCTCGCCAACCGTCAAGCTTAACGCTATTAAAATAAACTATATTTGGCATTTGGTTGGTAATTCTATTTAGGTTTCCCCAAAAAGTAAGTCACTGGTCTAAGTAATACCATTTCGGAATCGACATTCATTTATACATTTGAGATAAGAAATAACAACATACAAGGAAAATCCGATCAAATCATGTACGTCGTCCAAGTAAATTTGCATAAAATATTATTATAATTTATATATATAAATAACAATCATTACAAACAGGATAATTTTTTTATATATATGATTAAAATCTTAACTGTTCATTACGATTAAATGGGACTTTGATTATATATATATATATATATATATATAACAATTTATATCTAGGGAAAGGATTGTTAATATCTAAGGAAAGGAAATGAGAATTTTACTCGATATTAAACCCATAACTTAGGAGAAACTTAAGAGAAATAGGAGGTATCCACTGAAAACTTTAATCACTTGCTGTAGAAATTGTTGAGGCATGTAGTACATCTTATGAATATATGTATATTTTCAAAAACTTTTAAAGTAGGTGGTTAAAGCTTTTGGTTGACACATTTCCTAGCCCCTACGTTCTGAGTTCAATATTTATAAGGAGCAAAATTATCTCCCCTTCCCCATAGATTTGAATTGTTTAATATATATATATATATTTTATATATATTTATATATATGTGTGGAGGGATGATCCAATTATATAGTGTAAATCTTTTTAATTTTACACCTTTTTAGAAGTGTTAGATGAGTGGAAATTAAAGGCTTAAATTAACAGTAAGAAATATGAAGATACTCACTGAAAAAAATAAGGAGTTAATCTTAGCATTTGATTTTCTCTCACCCAACTATCCTAAAAAAAGTGTAAAATTAAAAGTTTGACCCTAGATGTAAGTTGAACTTAACCCTATATTATTATATTTTAAAGCTAATTAAAATTTATCAAAATATAAAATATTATTATAATTTATATATATAAATAACAATGATTACAAACAGGATAATTTTTTTTTCAAAATTATTTAGGAACAATTATCTGATTTGACTCGAGTAACGTAGTATCAAACAACCTTTTATTTACTTTTTTAATGGATTGAAATAAAGCACACGAAGTGATGAAATATAGAGGGTGGGATATCATAATGAAAGACGGAGGTGGTCCAAGCAGGACTTTCCACTGAGACTTTTACTCTGTTGTAGCTCCAAGTAGTTCCTATATTCGATACCAAGATATGCTTGGCCGACACCATCCTTCACCAGCTCCGGTGCTGGACTAACGACGGTGTCAAGTGGTGGTCCATGTGCTGTTCCAATGGATACCCTAGGAGCCTTGTTGTTCACCACAGCTCGGTGCACCACACTTTTATACTTGCCGTTGGTCAGTATCTGGAATCCACAGTGCAAGAGGGCTCTGTTATTAAACCAATTACAGCAAGAAGATGCTAATGCTAAATCAACTGTATCGGAAACCATATTACATACCTCCATGTGATCTCCGGTGTTGACAAGAAAAGAGTTGGGCAGGGGATTGATAGATACCCAGTTTCCCTTGTGCATTACTTGAAGGCCATCGATCCCGTTTTGCATGAGGATCGTGAGAAGTCCATGATCCGAGTGCGGGGGTAGACCCATGACCAGCTCTGGCTGTGGGCAAGGCGGATACATATTTGCAACCAGCAGCTGATGGGACTCCGAGCATTCCACTCTTATTTTCTCATTAATATAGCTCGCTTCCAATCCTAGGCTTTCCGATATTCCTTTAAGCAGCTCACCGGCGATTACTCTAGTCTTTTGGCAGTAGTCTCGTAAAACCTTGCTGTTAAAACAACCCATGATTCATTGGCAAAAGTAATTAAACAAAGGTGCAGAATTTGTGGGGTCTGTTGGGTGTACCTGAAACCAGAAGGCTTGTTGGGAGCATTGAAATGGGGATGAACGTGAATCTTGAGGTAATCCCTCCAAAGAAGAGTCTTATCCACATTAGGGTTGAAACTTGTCCCACACCTTATTGGATCAAACAGCTTCTTCCCAGCATACTGTCGCTTCTCCTCCCCTCTCAAATCGAAGAAACTTTCTGTTCCCCTCATCATTTCATCTCTCAACATCTCCGGCACTCCATGATTTATAACCTGCATAATAAGATGAAACCCCGAACTTCAGTAACAGATATATATATATATATATACTAAACTGATTAGTGTAATTACCATGAAGAATCCCCATTCCAGGCATGCATTGCCGAGTTGGGTAATGATTTTGGAGCGTTGATCAGGATCATGGGAAGTGAGCAAGGAGAAATCTATAATGGGGACTGTTTCTGGTTGCATGGGCAGATCAGTTTCTGTATTACTGAAGATGTAGTTTGAAGGAACAGAAGTGAGGCGAACTGATTCAACTAGCTCTTTCACAGAAAACATTTTTAGTTTACCAGAAATCGAAGCCTAAGATGTTTTCTTTTTTCAAGTTAGAAAACCTAAGATGTGTAGGTCTTTTGCTTTACTCGCTTTCCTTATATAGACCGAGAAAACAATGTTGACAACGATCTGATTTATATACGTAGAGAGAGATAGTATATTGTTTCACAATATAATTTTTTTAAATTTTACACAGTTTTAATACCGTTAAATTAGTGAAAATAAATAATTGAGATTTACATCACAAAATGACAAGATATTCACTAGGAAAAACAATGAGTCAATCTCATTTATTTATTTTTACTCATCCAAGGATTATAAATCTGTGTAAGTGGATCCTAGCCTATGTATATATATAACTTTTAGTTTTACACATTTTTAGGGTGGTTAGATGAGAAAAAAATCAAAGATCGAGATTATATCCTTATTTTTTTCCACTGAATAATTTTATATTTCCTACTGTGATCTCATCCTTTAATTTTCTCTCATCCAACGATCCTAAAAATGTGTAAAACTAAAAAGTTTTACGCTATGTAATTGTATATATACATACATATATATATATATATATATTAGAGATAAATATTTTATAAAAAATATTAGCGATAAATATGGACTCATCAAACGATCTCAGTAATTAAAGGGAGTATTATTCTCCCTAAAGGTATTGAGTTCGAGCATTTACATCTGCAATGTGTATACATTATCAATGACTAAAAAATATTATGAACATATACTATCTTGTAACGACTTCAAATTATTAAAAAAGATATTAGAGATAAATATATCATGCGATAAATGTGAGAGAGAGGTGATATGTCAATGTACAAGTGCATTTAGGTTGTGTCAGGCTTATTTCTTTTGTAGTTCTATGCATGAGATGTTAGGTAACTAGAAAGTATCGTGGTGGGTACTGCGTACTAAATCTAATAAAAATAAAATTATATTAAAAATAATAATTTTAAGGTTTAGGGGTTACTTTTATCTTTGTATAAGATTAAATTTATCATTTTTATCCTTTTGGTATTTCATCATTAATTTAGTCTTCGAAGTTATTTAAGGGACATCATCTTAGCCCTCGAAGTCTATTGACCATTTTAAGTAACAAAATTGTTAGTCTTATGTGTCTGTGGATTAAGAGATTAAGTTAAAATATTTATTAAACACAACGGTTAAAAAATATTCTCAAAATTTTATTATTTATTTTAGTGAGATTAAGAGATTAAGAGATTAAGTTAAATTTTGAGAAATTTTTCTAATCGTTATGTTTAGTAAATACTTTAAATATTTTATTTATTTATTTTAATAAATGTCACGTTATCATCAAGCTACGTCAACAATATTAATTGATTTGGAAATTGTTGGTGTCTACATATGTAGAAAACTAAAGTTATGTTAATCAAAATGGACTTTGAAGGTTAGGATCATGCTCCTAAACAACCTCGAGGGCTAAAATCATATTCATGGAAATTGAGTCTATTATAGGAGCTAGCAAAAATAATCCTTAAACCTAACTTTAAACGTAATAATGAATAAAATCATATTCATGGAATATTGATGGTAATTCTATTATTTTTAGCTAAAGGGTAAGTGTTGCCCCTGTAGTAAATCTAATTTCTCAATTTCACCCCTATCGTATTTTCGTAATAATTTAGTCCTTGAAGACATCAAATTATACTGTTGGTCGTATTGACTAATAAATTTCGCTCATATCATATTTTCGCATCAATTTAGTCAATATTGTGTCGTGGCTTGATGATGACGTGACATTGATCGGTATATGAGTTTTAGGTGGTAGTTTACCGAGAGTTTAGGTAGATGAATATTCGATTGTAGGTCGTTGAACCATCAATTGGGTGAGATTGATGAATCAATAGGGTTTGGTTTACCTGTCTGAGGCCATAAATGTCGATGATCGGGTTATAGCTTGTAATGGGTTAGATATTTGTGGTTCTAATATTTAAAATATTTTTTTATTTTTTATTTTTAATAAATGCGACATCATCATTAAGACATGCCAATAATATTGGCTGATGTGGAAACTGCAGGCATGCACATAAGCAGAAACTAACAGTTCTGTTAGTTAAGACAATCAACGGTATAATTTGATACAATTAAACAACTTCGAGGGCTAGATTGATGTGAAAATATGATAGGGGCGAAATTAGTAAATTGGGTTTACTACAGGGGCAACACTAATAAATGTCACATCATCATCAAGCCACGTCAGCCCTGACATGGAAATAGTTGGTGGCCACATAAGCATAAACTAACGGTTTCGTTAGTCAAGACAGCCAACGATATAATTTGATACAATTAAATAATTTCGAAGGCTAAATTGATGCAAAAATACGATAGAGGCAGAATTGATAAATTAGATTTACTACAAGGGCAACACTGACCCTTTAGCCAGATTTTTTAAAGTAACTTATGCAAAAAGATTTATGGAAGCAAAAAATAAAAATCACATGAATATAGATATAAAATAAAATGGAGTTAATTGTTGTTATGCATAGTTAGATTATGATTCTTATTCTAAACTAGTCCCTAAATTATGATTATCATTTTAAATTAATACTTAAACTTTCAAATATTTCAATTTTATCCCCAAACTATGACCTTCATTCTAAATTGATCCTCAAACGTTTTGATCATTTCAATTTCATCCCAAACTATATGTTTATACTAACCACATCCATTTTTAATAAAACCGTTAGGCCAATATATATTATTATATGTTTTAAAAAATAAAAATTAGGTTAAACTATGGTTGAAACTAATTATATATTTGGATGAAGTTTGGGATAAAATTAGAAGTTTCAGAAGTTTGAGGACCAATCTAGAATAAGGATCATAGTTTGGGGATGAAATGGAATGTTCAAAATTTTAAGGACTAATTTAGAATAAGAGTCATAAATTAGGGATGAAATTAGAATATTCAAAAGTTTAAATACCAATTTAAAATGAGAGTTATAGTTTGGGGACATATGATGTAATTAACCCAATAAAATGATAGAAATTAATATGTTTTTTTTATAAACATTGGTCTCTGATTTATTAATCGAATAATCTAAATAAAACACTGTAGAAGCAAATGCGACCCTCTCTAATAAATAATATCAAATACCTAATAATTAATCAATTCGTACCTTCTCGATAACAAATATCGTTGATTGTTACATTAGGTTTTCATTTAGGAGCTTAATCATTGATGTAAATATAATTTTAATATTTAATGATAAATTGATTATAATTACTACCAAATACCTAATAATTACTACAGCAGTGTTATTTGGGTGTTCAGTGTGTTATATTGGGTTTGGCTTGTCGCCGATTCCTGTTCCTTTATGAACTGTTCTGGATTGTATTGGGCAGACATGATGTACTCTTTTTCCTTTATTTAATTGTAAGAAGTTTTTTTAATAAGATTCATAGTTGCGTTTTGGTTTTATATAAATTACCTTAATAAAACTGTACACAACTTTCTTTTAAGAAAAAAATTGTTGATTGTTTTTCTTATCAATAAATAATTCTATAATGAATATTTGAATCCCACATATTTATTATAGAATTATATATTGAGTTGAATATATTTTAATCATTAAATTTAAAAAATATGTTTTAATTATTAAATTAACAAATTGTTAATTAAGTCATTAAATTTTTAAATTGATTTTCAATCAAATCAATGATTATTAATCGTGTATTGATGTGGTAACTAAACAAATTTATATAAAAACATATTTATACATCTCATCTAATATCGGGGGAAAATTAAGAAGAAGAAAAAGATAAGAATAATAGGATTCAGACTTAAATCTTTAGGGTTGTAAGACACTTAATTACTGGACTAAGCTCAATATATATATATGTTATGATCCACTTACACAATGTAAAATTCTTTAGTTATACACAGATTTTCACTCATCCAACTGTCCTAAATCAGTGAAAAACAAAAAGAATTTTACGTTATATATAGGGATAAGATCATGTTACACAACGTAATTTTTTTAAGTTAGTGTAAAATTAAAGAGTTTTACATTGTATAAGTGGATCATAACCCCCCTCTCTCTCTCTCAAATTTGATTTGAATCGAATTGAATCGAGTTTCTGTTTAAATTTAATTGTAAATATTTATAATATTATGATACTATTTGGTTCCAATTTAAATGGTTTTTTATAACCATATACAATACATATATATTTCGTTATATTTTTTTCATATATGTTATACACATATCATACAGAGTCGAGGGACTCGACTCAAACTTAGAAATCAATCCACTAATTACTAAAAATACTGAGTTATTCAAGTTGCATTTTATAATTTGACTTAACCTTGAAATTTTTTTGAGTCGAGTCAAGTTTATGAAATTACAACTCGATGTCAATTTGAGTCTAGTTTTTCCAAATCGAGTTGAGTCGAAAAAATCAATTTTTCGAGCGTAGTCGAATTTTGCTCACCCCTAAATGTAGGCACAACACTTAACCACTTATCCAATCTAAATATCTATTTAATAATTAATAAAAAAAACTACATTTAGGTTGAATTGTGATTGATGCAATATTTTTATATTTATAAATTAAATTTAATATTTTTATTAGAAGATAATTTGGATCAAACTGATAGAATGTGTACATAATGATAACTAAATATGTCATTAAATAAATTTGCTTTACCATCACATCAACAATTTCATTAGTAGTTAGTAGTCGGTGGCTTGATTGAAACCAATTTAAAGTTTAGTGATCTAATTGATGAAGTTTTTAGTTTAGTGGTCAAAATAGAATTAAGTCAATAGTTTAATTACCTTAGGAGTAATTTACCCATTTTAAAGTTCCATTGTAAACATTAGAAAGATCTCTTTTAGTGGAAATCAATAAAAAAGAAATCATAATTGTTATGATTTTTTTTAAAGTCAAATAGAGTTGTAAAATACAACTTGAATAACCCGAATAATAACTTGAAATTTTTAGTAATTAGTGGATTGATTTTCAAGTTTGAGTCAAGTCCCTCGATATGTATATCACATATGAAAAAAATATGAAGAAATATAT